GTGGCATCACGGCTGGAGGTGGCATCTCAGGAGCTGGTGGCATCCCCTGCACTGGTGGCATCCCAACTGCTGGTGGCATCCCCGGGACTGGTGGCATCAGGGGAGGTGGTGGCATCACACATGGGAGTGGCATCCCTTGGGTTGGTGGCACCCCCAGGGCTGGTGGCACCCCCAGGGCTGGTGGCATCACGGAGGGAGGTGGCATCTCTGGAGCTGGTGGCATCATGGGTGGAGGTGGCATTCCTTGGGCTGGTGGCATCACAGACGGTGGTGGCATCTCTGGAGCTGGTGGCATCCCCGTGGCCATCGCCGGGGTTGGTGGCACTCCTGGAGCCGGTGGCATCCCCACAACTGGCGGCATCCCTGGACCCAGTGGCACCCCCAGGGCCGGGGGCACCCCCAAGCCTGGTGACATCCCCATGGCTGGTGACATCCCTGGAGCCAGTGACATCCCTGCCACCAGCTGTGGCTGTGGTGGCACCCCTGGACCCGGGAGCATCGCTGGACACGGTGACACCCCTGGACCTGGTGCCACCACTGGGACAGTTGGTGCCATCACTGTTGGTGCCATCACTGGGACCGTTGGTGCCATCACTGGGACTGCTGGTGGCATCACTGGGACCGGCTGCAGCTGCACGATGGGGACCAACTGTGGTGGCATCACAGCCGGGGGTGGCACCCCTGGAGCTGGTGACACTCCCAGAGCCGGTGCCGCCTCCAGCGCCGGTGGCATCCCGTGGGCTGGTGGCACTGCTGGACCTGGTGGCACCCCCAGAGCCGGTGGCATCCCAGCTGGAGGTGGCACTGCTGGAGCTGGTGGCATCCCTTGGGCTGGTGGCGCTGCTGGAGCCGGTGCCACCCCCGGAGCCGGTGCCACCCCTGGAGCCGGTGCCACTTCCAGACCCAGTGACGCTCCTGGACCCGGGGGCATCCCTTGGGGTGGTGGCACCCCCAGGCCCGGTGGCACTTCTGGAGCCGGTGTCACCCCCGGTGCCCCCCCCGGTGCCCCCGGTGCCACCTGCAGGGGGGTGACCCCGACGTCCCCCTCGGGGGGCTCTGCCGGGACCCCTCCGGCGCCGTCCCCCGACGTCCCCTCGGCCCCGGGGGGCACCTGCGGGACAGGGGGGCAGTGCTGGGGGGGTCCCATAGCCTGGAGCCCCCCCCGGAGTGTGACAGGGACTTACCGGGGGGGGCCCATCCGGGGGGGGCCCTGCTGAGCCCTGGGGGTCCGG